AATTACAGAAATAAAAGCTGAAGTTGTTTGTTTATATAAAGTAATAGAAGAACCTGGTGGGGAATTACCATTGAAGCGGGTCATAGCGTCTCCACTAGGTAGCTTAATTCGAAGGATTAAAGTCAGAGAGGATAGAAGGAAACGGTAACTCAGTTCCCCCTACATGGTATTTGAACGAAAAAAGAAAAGTAAACCAGCCCACGTAGCAACTGGGGAGATTGAAGAGGTATATACATTTCAAATTCATGATAAAATTAAATGCTTCTTTAATTAATATAATTACCATCATATGCTAATTAATAGGTTGGAGGTGTGAATAAGATACTATATGATGGTAATTATATTAATTAAAGAAGCATTTAATTTTATCATGAATTTGAAATGTATATACCTCTTCAATCTCCCCAGTTGCTGCCTGGGCTAGTTTACTTTTCTTTTTTTGTTCAAATACCATGTACGGGGAATTGAGTTATCGTTTCCTTCTATCCTCTCTGACTTTAATCCTTCGAATTAAGCTACCTAGTGGGGACGCTATGACCCGCTTCAATGGTAATTCCCCACCAGGTTCTTCTATTACTTTATTTTATATAAACAAACAACTTCAGCTTTTATTTCTGTAATTATATTTTCTATATTTGTAAGACGACTGTCAACTTCGCTTTTGAAGTATATGAACAATTTATGATGATCCTTAAGCAGTGCATGTATTTCTTGGAGAGCAATAATAGGAGGGCTGATATCTGTATATGTGTGGGCATGTGTTGACTCTGAAACACTGCGGTAAGGAACTACATCAGAAATATGAATGAATGTGGGAGATGGCGGTCGGGAATGAGTGTCCTGTTGTGGGAGATGCTTTTTGGGGTTGGATGTTTCATCACGAGCTGAGGCAAGTAATTGATGTTCGCTGGCTTTTATTTCAATGAAATGATCATAAACGTGCAATGCAATAAATATAGTCAAACATAATGAATTTATTATCAAATTATAATGAGACTGTATATGAAATAAATAAATAACTAACTCACTCAGTGACTGTCAGCCTCTTGAAGGTTAGTTGTATCTTAACCAAATTTCACTTTACGTTAACTGGCCACCTCAACATTCTTGGCCTAATCTCAGGCACTGCTGGGAGGACTAAGGAGGTATGCTCATAAAACCACAGCTGCATTAAACATGATACGATAATTAACTGTACTTAATTAATAAATGATGTTAATTATATTAAAATTAATCTTCATAACTTATGTGAATAATACTAACCGTCAGAAGGAATACAAACCCAATAATGTATCCCAACGGCTGGTCTTTCTTTATTTTCGTGGCACAGATATTGAGTTGTTCGGTCAGGAAATTACATACAGTTGCTGGCCAATTATAAACTGTAAATGATTTAATATCCTCACAAATAGACGACAACTCTTGTGACATTCTGAAGTTACTTGAGGGAAAAAGTAAATTTGACATTAAAAACTTTATTAATAATTGTAAAAAGGTATTCGAGGACTCCCCTGCTGAATAGTTCAGTAGTGCTGTCTTTACTTGTCGCGCATCCATCCTAGCTGGCGGGGCATTACTCTAGTATGCAGGGAAACCTCTATTTGGCATGCCAATCAGGAGTGCAACCTCATCAGCATAAAATTTTACATCTTTCCCTCCGAGGTGGAATGCCATTCGATCAATATTCCAACAATTTATTATGTGCATTGTCATAATATGATCTTGAGGGTGCGGCGGGAGTTCAAAAAACTGAGCTAAATTTAGTTCTT